TCGTTATGAGTGTAGTGCCGAACGCATACTCAACGCCTCGACCCGTAGCTTGGCGCTTGGTTCGTTGGGACGCGCGAAGATTTCTAGGAGCAATCGCACTCACGCACATTCGCTGCATGGGAGTTCCGTACGTAACACCGACGCGTGCCCCGAAGCTCCGCATCACGTCAACTTCGGGGCATCAATGTACTTTAAAGTTTTTTTCATCTTTTTTCATCTTTCGCCAACTGATGCGATCCACATCGTTCATGACTCACGTTCTCGGTATTTAACGATGTTATTGAAATTTCGTTAATTACCATTGTTGTACCGTGAGCCGGAATATTTCAGGACAAATGTTTTGTAGTAAAATTACTAATGTACGGGACAAATACTTGAACCAGAAATTTTTAACTTCCGAGCTCATTCTCAAAATGATGATTATAATTAAAATTTTTGCAATGAATGAGATAACGGTAGCAACATGGGTAACTAAATAATAATACTAACGATAAGAATTATTGATACTGTTATCTTACTTTACGATTTTAATTAATTTTACATTAATTATTAAAATCACCTTAGGGACAGTGAAACAAACAATGAAAAGCTGAACCCATAATCAAATATTACATAACTGCAATGTATTTTATGCGATTGCTATGAACTGTAAAACGTGAGGAAAGAAATTTGCGTGAAAAACCATACCCACCCTTCCCTTCCTTCAGAATTTGAACATGCGACACGTACGTTACACCTGACGTCATACCGACTACATCGAACTATGTTGTTGGGTATCTCCTTCCATCTAGGTTTTATGTGTTCCCTACGGAACATTCATAATTTTTTTTATTAATTTCCGAGCTTATAAAAATTGTATGTACAGTATAACTCTCGAGCACCCACGTTTTAATTTTGCCTGTATCATTTGCGGATGAAATAAATGAGGTAAGTGAAAGGTAAAGTCAAAAAGGGCGCCACGAGTGTTCTTCCCTTACCATCAAATGCGAGCAGTGTTGGTAAGCGTAGGTAAGCCACCACCAAAACTGCCGCGTGGTATTACCATCACGAGTACGTGAGCCGCCAGCGGCGACTGGTAGAAGGCACCGCCATCGCGAGTGCGCGACAGAGATGAGTTGGGAAATTGCTCACGAGCAGGGTCGCGCGATCGCATCGTGTGCTGCCCTCTGGTTTCGTACGTTAGCTTACACCGTTCTTTGCCCCCAAGAGCGCCACAACGAATTTCTCGCAGGGGCTCGCGCACTCGCGATGGCGGTGCCATCTACCAGTTGCTGTTGGCGGCTCACGTATTCGTGATGGTAATACCATGCGGCAGTTGACGGTGGTGGCTTACCATTATGGCTATCTCCTAACTCATCTCTGCCAAATCAGAGATGAGTTGAGAGATTCACGGGAAGGATCGAGCGACCGCGTCCTGTTCGACCTCCGGTGGAGGATGCAGACGGCTAATGCACTTGCCACCTGTTACAAATCTGGGCAGCTCCCCACCAAGCTGGAAAAGTGAAGAACTCCTCACAAAAACTCCAAAACCCTGTATATCTTCAAACAAAAATCGCAGCCACTAGCTCGAGAGATCAATTTAAGCAGAACAACCTTCCCCATCAAGCTGAAAAAGTGATGAACTCCTCACAAAAACACCAAACCCTGTGTCTCCTCCGAAAAAAATTGCAGCCACTAGCTCGAGAGATCAATTTAAACCGAACAACCTTTCCCATCAAGCTATTGTGGACGCAGTTCGCATCACGAAAAAAATTCACAAACATCCTTTAACATATTTTAACATCTTCTACCAACAAGTGCAGCAAGCTCGATTTCGATTAAGTGCCCATGATGATTTTACCAAAAATGGCTGCTTCCAGGTGATCAACCTAAACCTGCAAAGGGGCACAAAAGTACAGGTAAAACAGAACATTGAAGAAACACCAGGAAGTCGCCAGATTCTCTGAAGTGGCCCAACTAAAGCTGAAAGGGAACACAAAGGCACAAACGAAACCATTGGGAAAGCGAGAAAGAGACGGTGATACAAGAGCTAATAAACTTACTGAAGTTACCATTAAAGTCAAGAATATTTCGCAGTGCATCGATCTCGTATAATTGACCCAGTAAAAATGTATTCAATTATACATTACTTGGCGTGACAAAAATCTAATAAATATATCTTGCTTAAATGCAGACTCGAGAAAATCTCATGAAAAGGATAGTTCACCGTCTCTCCCCGTCAATCCAGACAGAAGGATATACAAAAAATGAGAGGGACAACGTGGCGAAAAAAATGGATGACTGTCCATTCGAAAGAATGGAAGGCCATCGTTGTTGCCCTCTTCTTAAGGGGCCGCTTCGGCATATAGCCTCTTCGACACTTGTAGTCTCTTCAGGCAGAGCCCCCTACGTCTCGAACGCTTGGCAATCCCCTGATTTTTCGAATTTGAAAAAAAAAAATACTCCGCGAACAAATTCAAAAGCTAGCAAAGCGACGACCTGCGATCCGAGGATGCGCAGTCCGTGCGTATTGCACAATTATCCGAATTCCCAAGCGCGGTCTAATTAATTTACATCCCTGATAGAAACTTATCACGATCGCGGGCGTCCAGGAGTACGCTGAGCGAATAATTCACTCTCCAGACTAAAATTAATGACTCGCGGCAATCTAGACGTTTCTGGCCAAAGAAATTTCTCGGCTCCAGTAAAATTCTTTTTTTTTTGTAAAGTTATTTTTTTTTCTCCCAGCGTAGAACCCCGGGCGCAGGACGGACATCCTCCGCGCTTCCGGAAGCGCGAACGATGTAAAAGTATAGTATATATAAATACCCAGATTCGGGATCTCTCCCCAAACCCCAAGGAAGAGATCCCGCCCTGGCCCTGCCTACTTACATCTAGACATTCACTCCAGACAATTAGCCTACCTCCCTAGCTATATTTAAAAAATCAACCTCACTCATTCCAACACACTCACTCCACGATTCTCTCTCATTCCACCCGGGGACAAATAGCCTAAACTAGGGAGGACATCCCGGGATGCCTCCGACCCCCGAGTTCAAATCTCTCGCATACATCTTTCATCGATTGCCATCGTTAATCGAATTTAAAGAAATTAAATGGATAGGTGCAATTGGAATCAAGATGGCAACCGAAAGAACTTACACAATTATTTTACCGCGCCCTCTGGCCCTGAACCGTTCGACTCTCTCCTGGAGAAGTCGAAGGGCGGGGACCAGGAAGGAACGCTGCCACAAGAAAAAACACCTACCGCTGCCGATGCTGAAAGAATCCTAACTAGATTAATTTTGATAGCGGTAAATCGAGCTACGGATTCTACTCGACATTGATAGATCATAATTTTGATAAATCAAAAGGCCAAGCCCAGCTCACACTACGGCCCCAGGGTAGTGGAAGGCTTGGCCGAAAACAGCTGAAAATCCTGAAACGTTCCCCTCGTCGAGGCGGCGACTCTAAATCGATCCGCAGGCAAATCAAAGTGCCACCTCGACTCGAGGTCGGCTCCTCGCGAAATCCTCCTCCCAAGTTTTTTTTAAATCATCCGAAGGAATATCGCGAAACCGATGGCCCCGAAGTCGGAGGGTCGTCCGACTTCCAAGCGCATGATAAAGAAACGCGAAACGTATTCTACCGCGGAGCCAGGAGAAAGCTATTCCTAGTCTAAATCAACACACAAGAAATAAACAAAGTTCACGCGGCCACTCGCGAGTCGGCGAGAGGTCACTCCCCGTCCACTCGCGGTCCCTCAAACAAATCATAACATACAACCGATCCCCGTGCCGGTACGGACCTTTCGTCTTGCGACATGAAGGGATCGGAGGAAGGAAATGTTGAGACTTTACCAACGGGACGATTCGTCTTTTTCTGGCGGGACTCCCCCAGGAGATCCCTCCGCAGAGACCTGGGGTTTCTGGCCTCCTCTCCATCTGCCTCCCTTCGACGTTGGCTCTGGCTGCATTCCGCCTTTGTGTCCGCTTCCACTGCTTTCGCTGCATTCGCTGCTTTCGCTGCTTTCGCTGCTTTCGCTGCTTTCGCTGCTTTCGCTGCTTTCGCTGCATTCGCTGCATTCGCTGCATACGCTGGATACGCTGCCTCCGCAGCCTTCGCTTCCTCTTGCTTCATTGAACGATATTATTATATTATAATATGAACGATATTATATTATATTATGATATGAACAAGTTTATATTAATCCTTGTTGCTCACAGTAATCACTGCATTCCACTTTTGTGTCCGCTTTCGCTGCCCTCGCGCCCCCCGCCATTTTCTTAATTTTTGACGACATCTCATCGCGGCAAATTTTCAGGGGCAACTGGCGATCCGCCGGCCGGGCCGTAATCCCCGGCCGTGACCCGACTCCGTGATTGGAAGACGTCACCGGCCCGATAAAGGACCGTGATTGGTCAATTTTTTTCGGAGGAGATACAGGGTTTGGAGTTTTTGTGAGGAGTTCATCACTTTTTCAGTTGGTTCTCAGGCTGCCCAGAGTTGTACAAGTGGCAAGTGCATTAGCCGTCTGCATCCTCCACCGGAAGTCGCACAGGACGCGGTCGCTCGATCCTTCCTGTGAATCTCTCAACTCATCTCTGATTTGACAGAGATGAGTTGGGAGATTGCCATAATGGTAAGCCACCACCGTCAACTGCCGCATGGTATTACCATCACGAATAAGTGAGCCGCCAACAGCAACTGGTAAATGGCACAGCCATCGCGAGTGCGCGAGCCCCTACCAGAAATTCGTTGCGCCGCCCTTGGGGGCAAAGAACGGTGAAAGCTAACGTACGAAACCAGAAGGCAGCACACGATGCGATCGCGCGATCCTGCCCGTGAGCAATCTCTGGCAATCTCCCAACTCATCTCTGCTCTGGTTCACCAACGTATTGCGCCTTTCGATCCTTAGCTATCGAGAGGGCAGCACGGGACAATAGTTACGAAGCAGTGGGCCGTGGATATTCTCATATTCTCTCTTATCCCGGTTATTCTTATTCAAATTGTAATTTTAATAGTGATGAGTAAACCTTTTTAATAAAGCGCTTAAATTTGTATTTATATTACTTGAAAGCTTTATAAATCGCTGATATGTAATTACTTGTAAATCGTTATGTAAGTACTTAATATGCTGAAATAATTTATTGTGAATCTCGTTAGAATGATTGAAACCTTACATGTGACTGTATGGTACTAAATTGGGCTAGTAGTGTACAGTGTTGTATATTATTCAGTTATATTGTGTAATATAAATTTGTGACGATAAACAGTTGTTTAATAAACGTGTGCATTATATTGTTTCATAGAATACTTACAACTGATTCTGTTGGTTACCATGGCAGAATCTAAGATACTGACACATGTGTTCATAAGGATTTTCTCTTTTGGTAAAATACTACATTCCCATAGAAGAAGTATCATTCATTATGGATTTCAAACATTTTCCCAATCTAGACAGTCAGAGCAGGTAGAAACTCAATCTGAAGATGATGCAACTGAAGCAGCTAAGGATGAACAAAATGCTAAACGAAAAAGTAGAAGAACCGAAGCTGAAATTTTACAATTTTTTAAATCTGTTAATTTAACAAATGTTATTCAACAATGCCCAGAGAAATATTTTAAGAGAGCAAGACAATCTGAACGTTTATATTTATTAGATAAAGCAACAGCAAAAAAAATGTGCGATCTTATTATAAATGATATACCAAATGAAATACCTGTATTAGAAGCAAATCCTGGACTTGGTGTTTTAACAAAAGAATTATTGGAAGGTGGAGTGCCAACGATTCACTTATATGAACCAGACACAAAATTTAGAGAAAATTTTCAATCTTTACAGAAGGAATATTTAGATCGTATAAAAATACAGAATATAGATTATTTTTCACTGTGGCATCCTAAAAATAATAGTAATAATGTTGATATAATTGAAAAAGCAATAAGTCATATTCCTTGTAAAAAATATAAAGAGGAACCCTCTATGGTACTAATTGGTATTATACCAAACATATGTACTATGAGATTGATATTGATGTCTGCAATACTCCGCAATAAAATAATGAGTTTTGGTCGAACTGTTTTTTACATTGCAGTAGCACCATCAATATGGTGGGTTAGTACTTTGGAAATTTATTTTGATATATTTAACTGCAATGACCATAAATGATTTGATATTCAAAAACATGATTAGGTAAATTATGTACAATTATCTGTAAAAGGAGACATTAATGTGCTATATTAATTCATTCCATAACGTAATAATGTTTGTTAATTAGTGGATTCCTTTCTTCTAGCGCATGGCTTCTGACAGTTCATCTAGTTATCATATGTATCGGTCTAGATCGGTAATGTTTCAAATACTTTTTGACTATAAAGTGCTTGGAACAATATCTAGAAAAGTCGTTGTGCCATGGCCATCTATTAATATAAAGACTCGTGTAAAAGAGATGCAAGAGTTAGCTGAAATTGAGGATCAAATTATGTACATTGTAAAAATGGAACCAAAGGCTAATTTTTATGAAGATTTTAAAGAGCAAAATTGTTTATGCCTTTGGTATTTCCTCAGGCATCACTTAATGGCTAGAAAAAATCGGATCATCCCAGAATTAGAGTGAGTGTAGATATAATTGTATATTCGTTTATGTTATTGTAATCAATTTCCCTAAATTTTTATTCAATTTATTTTGTTGTTGATACACTTAAGGAAATGGGTACCTGGTTGTGGTCCTTATTTAATAGCTAAAGGACATGATATATTCACTGAGTTTGGAGACTTAACACCTGATAAATTATTAGAATTGTATAAAACATTTGTGTCATGGCCAGAGTCTGAAAACACATCATTCATGTTAGAAATGAGTGATCTCAAGCAAGGCGAAGAATGGGCTACATTGTATCCTAAAAGTTAAATCAGGAGATTACATAAAAAGTAATAAATAATTGCGTAAGTTATTCCTATACTGTTTTGTCATACAGGAACACTTTCCTATTTTTTTATTCATATCAACATATTTTTCAGTGATTTGTTTGATGACCAAACTTGTAATCAGTTACATTTCAGCAGAAGTCAGATGTTTTCAAATCAAAATAAAACGACATTACAATTGTGATAGTGGACACTGATAAACTATGATCTTGTTGAAGAGGTCATGTGGCTTTAAAGTGTATATTGATAACTGTTTTGCACTTTAACCAGTTGGATCAGTTTCAAGTAGAACTCTGAGTACAAACGTGATCATTAAATAATTTTGATTAACCTCCATTACTTATATTTCAATATTAATTATAAGTGGGGTAACATATTAGAATATGGTGCAAATGTGGCAACAACGTGGTTCCTTGAAACTGAAGAAGGATTATTTATCTATACCAATTATAATTTTGCCACTCCTTATGATCTTTTTTAATGGAATTCAAGGACAAGATATTATGTTTCCAACTGAAAGGTCCTATCCCAGATTAAGAACATCCGAAGTAAGAAGCTTTATATATTCCATCTCTCATTAAAATATGAATGATACTGAATTGCTCAATTTTATTTGTTTTCTTGCAGTCTGAAATACCGAACCTTGTGGATTCAAATGAAACGACGAGCCCTTGCCCTGTGAACATGACTTTGTATTCGGATGAGAATAATACACATTATTGTGATTGCAGTGTGGGATATTTATATTATCCTCCACAAGATAGTTGTTATTTACCATATACTAGAGGGCCCTGTCCCAAGCGCAAATATTTAGTCATTTCAAAAGATGATACAATATCACGCTGCAAAAGAAACCCTTGCCATCAAGAAGGATTGGTACAGTTCGAAAATAAATGTTATACACTTTTTGATAGATGCAATGACAGTATGACTTTAGTAGTAAATGAAGATACTTTACAATTAGAATGCACACAAATACATATTGTACCGTATCAACTAATTGTTGCTCCTCTGAGACCTTGTGCTGCTGGTTCACGGAGGATAGCCAGTGGTGCATGTCGTATGATTTTATGAAATAATTGTACAATTTTTACTTAAATTATTCCTTTATACTTATACTGAATATGTACTAAATGTTGAAAATTCAAAATTTAACACTTTTTTTATGCCCTTCTAAAATAACATATATACTGTAAATATAACAATTTATCACATGAAATTAAAAAAAATGTTATGTCTATTTCTTTATTCTATTGTATATGTACCAAAATTATAGCTATTACTTTAATATGATTGCTTTATAATCAAAGCGCAACAAAATATTAAGTGGAGACTTACGAGACTAAAGTGCAAAAGATAATTCAAATTTGTTGTCAGATTAGAGCCAAGAAATATTTCTATTTTTTTCAATGTATTTTGTTAATATGTTTGTTAAATGATACTATTAAATTTTGTTCCAATCTGTCATCTCAACAGGTAAGTGTTAATTTTGACTCTTCGTATTTCTCCTCTTATGCATGAGTTAGTTTATATAATTCCAATGATGAAATTACAATAATTCTAGAACACCTTGTATAATCCCATTCTTGATCTCCTCTACGATCAACCATATGTAATGTATGTACACACGTGTAAGCATTTTTGATAGCTATGCCTGCACTGTTGCCTGTTAATGACCCTGCTGACTGTGGTTTTATTTGATTCTGTAGTAGTTGGCCTTGGGGGAAACCAAGAGTATCGAGACTCCAAGTTTGAAAGTCATTCTGTTTATTATCAGAGGAATCTCTTATACACGTACGACGGCTTGAAAAGGAACTAGCAGAAATATTGAGGGAAGTAGTGAATTTGTAAGAAGGGTGGAATCCTAAAGATACCAATTAAAGAGTGCTCGTCAAGGATTTATTCAATTTATTAAATTACCGTCACGCCAAAGATGTGGTGGGTCATTTTTAATGGCACATTACTAGTTCTGAGTCTTCTTACCTGGGGTCAAGATATTGTGTTTCCAACTGAAGGAGAAATGTTTCATTTGAGCGGCAGCAATCCAGTGGTAAAGAAAGATGTTAATATTTTTCAACTGCAATTTGATGAGATTAAATTTATACTATCAATTTTATTTAGATAACTGAACGCATCCCTGTGTCGATACCAGATCACTGTCCAAAAAACATGCTTTTATATCCAGGAGATGGGAGTAAAAGTGCTTGGATTTGCGATTGCATTCCCAAGTTTCTTTATTTTCCTAGAAATAATTCTTGCTTCGAAGCCTACAGACAAGGGCCATGTCCACCAAAGAACTATGTAGTTCTTCCTAAAGGTGAAACAATCCCGATTTGTATGACAAATCCTTGCAATGAGGATGGCTTGGTACCGTATAATAATACTTGCCATGGTCTGAATGCACCAGGTGGTCCCTGCGCACCTAATGGAGTTTTAAATGTAAATGAAACGACATTTGAAATAGAATGTGTCGACTTTGTACCATTTATAGTAATTGATTCTCCTAAGAAAGTATGTCCAATTGGTAGCCGAAGGAATTCTCTAGGGGTTTGTAGAAAAGGCATTTAATGGATTCCAATTATTTATTCATCAAATACAATTTCTACTGGTTTGATAATTAAGCAATCACGATTAAAGTTAAATCAAGAATGGATGTATATGTGCTTTTCTTACATACAGCAGTCCATTCACTTTAGAAGTTATTTATAATTCTTTACGATATCTTACACATAAAACAAAATGTTTTAAACAAAGTTATATAATACATTATGTACAATAATTAAGTTTAAGAAAATTGTATCTTTAATACTTCAGTATATTTTTTTAAACAATTCAAAAGCTATATATTATATCTTTAAAAATGATACGCTTTGCCTATCTATAATAATCTTTGCTCTGAATTTATAATTCTATAAAAGCCTCATATACTTAGCTGTTCTACTTATATAAAACAAAATAGCCTTTTACGATACATGTCATATCGTTAGCTATAAGTTATCTCCTCGATTCTCATGTAATTTACTTGTAACCAAGTTTTTATACATTGACCATGCATACTTATTATTAAGCTACATGTGTGCGTGATTATAAAATAATTAATATTCAGTGGAAGATGCTAGCAATACCATTTACTCATGGTTGATATGCACAATTGTAGTACAGCGGATAAACTTAATATCTTTACGATAAAGAATTATCATCTGTATTTAGTACATTGACAAAAATGTACTCGATTTTATCTGTAATAACATTGCATGTGATAAAAAGTGATACGTTTCTTAATAAAGATTTCAACTGGGAAGGAATTCTTGTGAACTTGTAGCAGCTTCGATTAATCTTTGCCTTTCTCTGAACATAGAAACCTTCATATTCTCTAACTGGTGGTATCTTAATAGCTTTAAAACAGCAAACACAGACAAACCAACCCAGATTGAAAGACTACTCCATGCCCCAAATTGTGCAGCACCTAACTCTATATGAAACCCTGATGTATCTATGTCATCAGCCTTGTCAATGTCATTACCAGCTGCTAATTCGCATGATGGGAATCTTTTCGTCATACACTGGCACCATGTCATAAAACCTAAAGTAATGATATTCGCTGCAACAAGTGTTATTACTGTAAATAATATAGAGGTTACAACGTCCACGAAAGCAGATAAAAAGGAACTATCCTCTCCTCGGTACATAAGCATTGAAAGTCGGTATATCTGCACAGCGGATGTCAAGAGAAGAATTAACCCGACAAATATGGTATAGTTACAATATGCCTGGGGTGCCCAATTCACATCAAACTGACCATCGGATTCTCTCCAAACACCCGTGGAGAAGAGTAAGCAATGTCCACTGTAAATGGTAAAAATGAAACTTCTAAGAAATCATCTTTGTTATTTTGACTTAAAATCAGCATAAAGCATAATAAATATTATCTGCTCTTGTACCGAACAGAGACATGTTCAAACGAAAAGATTTACCGGAACTCATCTTGATGAAGACTCATTGGGACAATGATACAGAGAGATAAAATCAATGCGACGACGTATCCGGCAATCTGACTCAACAGCAAAATATTGCTCAATGCCATGGTTCTCCAGGGGCAGATACCTGTCGTCTCAGGATTTGAGGTTAAGTCGCGTCTATCATAAAAGAATCGAATCTATTCGACGCAATACGCAGTAACCTTTGGAGACAATGAACTATATTGACCTTAGCCAATTAATATTTCATGAAGTCGTTTGATTCACAATTTATTGACATCACTTATTGGAACTGTTACGATACCACGGTTTGGTAACCAGTGACATTTGCGACAATTCAATCCATCACATTGGTCACAATCGTCAACAACGATCCTTGTCGCTGATTGGTCGACTCACCTACCACTTCCGTTGGAACCACGAATCCCAAAACAAATACGGAAAGAATCAGCTGGTAGCGAGCTTGACGTTTCTTATTGAGATTGCCTTACGGCAGCGAGGCGCGGATTAAGACGCGAGATTCTTTCCTAGATTTCATAAAAGCGGTAAAATGAGCAAATCTGTAACAAAATAAACAAAGGAATTATTTGACGACGTAAACGTGCCAAGCGTATGGCTTCGATTAATTTCGACAGACTTAAAGAAAGACGGCTCAAAATGAAGTCCTTGAACTAGTTGCTCGGAGAGATTTAGACCGTATGCAGTCCGCGATAGTCCAGAACAACCCGGAAAGGCCCTGACGGACATCCCGATCAACCGTTACCAACCAAGTCAGAGAATAGGTGTAACAAAGGAATTTCCTGTGCGCCACTGTGCACGTCGCAGCTTGCACAGCTTAAGGAGGCTCAAAAAAAGGGTTGCAATTGTATGAATATATACGACTTCGTGATCATTCACGCATCAGCCAAGACTTTAGAACTGAATTCATAAGATTCTGTGTAGCGTGGGTCATGGTCGTTCAGCACAACGTTGAGAATACGCAGAAGTTAGTAACTAAATGCTGGCAACAATTTGCGGGCAATTGTTCCGCCAGCAACCTGTACCCTGCAGTGGTCTCAGACGTTATGATGAATACGCGCCACGAGAAATCAGCTGATTTCAGTAAATAAGGAGGCCGTTCTCGTCAGTCACCTTAATGCCGCTGTGAAGGTGAACGAATCATTAAAAGACTACTCTGGACTACTCAAAACGTGCAAGCTACATACATGTGTACGTGCTATATCGTGGAGAAAGTGAAAAACGCAGGATTAACTAAGGCGCCATCACAAAATAACCTCGCCAACGGAAGTACTATGTCGAGCGTTGTCATTCTTGAGACGACACGCTTCGGAGGGACGAGACTCGCTCAGATGGATCACTGTTCAGGGGGTTTCAACATGCCAGAATAATATTGTAGTCTAACGTTAACATCAGGAACTCCTATGCCTGTCTCGGTGTAGTTTTGTCCACCTTGGGTGCAGGAAGATGTCTTGGCTAAAATGCTTCAACTGGTCGGAGGGAATAAAAAAACGGGCATGCAGGTACCTTTTGCAGAGGTACCTGGGCCAGTTTCTAGAGGAAAAACTCACATTGGACCAGCTTACGGTAGATCTTTACAATGGCACTGGTCGAGTCACAAATGTCAGTCTTGATGTACAGGTAATACATTCTATCATTTGTGTGTTATTCGTTACTGATAAATCATACAATGACAATTTAACATTGAGGTGTAACAATGAATGGCATTGTAGCGTGATCATTTTGTACAATATGATAAAGATAAGAATCTTATTTATAGAATCAAGACTTTAGGAGTCATAATTCAGTGAATCATTTGATCACAGGCATTAAACGAAATGGGAGAACAACAACATTTACCTTTAGAATTCGTCGATGGTTTTGTAGCAGAGGTATCCGTCAGTATACCATGGTCTGCTTTGCTAAGTGAAGCAAGCTATGTCGAGGTGTCAGGCTTAGTATTAACCGTACAGCCACGACAGAGGACCGAAACTGGAACTTCGATGTTTGAATCTATGTGGAGTTCTATGACGTCTAGTATGCAACTTGCCCAAGAGTGTTTACAACAGGACACAAATAATATGGATAATGAGCAATTATTGGAAGGAGTCGAATTATTTGCGCAAACTATAGACTCTAGTAAGAAATAATGACGGAGATTTATTGTTTTCAATTTTATGTTTGAATTATACAGATAATAATTTGTGACCTTTAGTTCTGTGCAGAGTCAAAGTAAGATTTCTCAATACGGTCATACGTTTGGAGCATGTTCCTCTGGAGTCTACAATGGGTGTAGCAATAGAAATGTGCATAAAAAATTTAGAGTATTCGGATGAAGCTGGTTCAGACCCATATAACGTTAATGCAGATGCAAACCAACCTGCACAAGGATATGTAGCATCTGCATTTATGATTAAAAGATTTTACTTGGAAGGTGTAACTTTTCACACCGATGAATTTCCTTCACGCTCAAGAACATTTTCTAGGAGCATCATGACAACAAGTAGAGGATCAACACCAGATTCAAAGGTACTCTATAATGATTTGCAAAACCTTGTCTTAAGCCACTGCTGTTACATTTTGGGAACATCCTTCACAGAACTCAGATGTGCAGTTCTCATCTGCGCAAATATCACCATTACAAAATGCAAATACACCACCAGAGCGAAATATTATGAATGCTTTGAGTGAATCTCATCCGATCCTATTTGCTAAATTAGCAGGACGGCAAGAAGTACGATTGAAAGTCAAACAGGCAGAAACAGTCCTTGGACCAAAGGTAAAATAGACTTAGTATTGATAGTATTTTAGTAGTTAACTTCTTATTTTGAGTTTCTAAATTACTGTATAAATATGATATTAATAATAAATTGAGTAAAAACAATTTTAGGTAGAATTAGAAGTCACATTGGGTTCTTTAACTTCGTTTCTAAGCCCCAGACAAGTTCATGTGTTGATGGAATTGGGGCATGGCCTAGCATCACCCGATCTAGAAGATATGAGCAATGTGCCACGGAGACCTTATGCTGAGAAACCTATGGCAGGGAGCGATTTTAATCGAGTCGAACGAGAACTCCTGCAGCAAATCAACCCTACTCAGGGATTACGAACAATGGTACAATGGCACCCTGAACTTTTTCATTTGAAGTACATCCTATCTTAACATTTTCGTCTCAATCCAATATGTGAGGTTCTAAAAGATACATTATAAACTATAGGATTTGCGACATGTGCAAGGATGGTCAACAGCATCTTTAGAGGAATCAGATAATGAAGATGAATTTTTACCAATGCGGCTACCTGATAGTCCTGAGATGAGTGATTCCATGACGACTAATAACGTTAGTATGGAAGGAAGTATATTGTGTAGCAGTGTGAGTTCCAAGGGCTCGGTGACAAATGTACCACGGCAGCATAAGCACAGAAGTTGTAGCACGGAAACAGATTCTACGACGGAAACATCTCAATTTCATATAAAATTGTCTTCGATTGCCATTGTATTATTACATGAGGACATTTTAACAACCTGTGTAGATGGTCTAGGACTTACCTTTGCCAGTACGAAGCAAATGAAGAGTACCGCGGAAGAATTTTTTAATAAACTAGGAATATTCGCAGTGGGAGGATATGGTAACAAAGATTTTGAGAAGGCTTCGATGTTATTTCTTGATGCGTGTCAGCTCAGTCATATTAGGTATTATTTGTTACTCATTCAATTCAATATTATATATTATATATATTTTTATACTTTCTTGAGATTGAATGATTTATTACAGACTACTCGCAGCACCACTAATAATGGAAGGAAGTGAAAAGACTACTACTCAAACCTCAATAATTTCTGGAAGCCTAACTTTAGCCAGTTTAGAAATTGTAGAATACTTACTTGATTCAAACAATTCTACCTCAAGTGAGCCCAAAGTCATGGATTGTGTGGAATTGCTTGGATTTGATAATGAGAATTTAGGTCCTGGAGTAACAAACAAAACGGATCTTAGAATGCGATTTAAATACACAGAAAAAGCTGTCAAGCAGGCTCAGACAACAAAGTTCGCACACCCACGCACTGAGATTGAGTAAGTTCTACATTGTAATGTGTATTATTTGTATTAGTCAGCAATATTATTTTGGTTCTTCAATTGCGCATTTTATTTATTACACGTAGTGTAGTAGAAATATAATCATGAAAATGTTATGTCATTAATTGCATTACAGCATTCAACTGGGCCCGTGTAGAAGCGAGATTGATATTACAATAGTGGACAGAATATCTGCTGTTTTGAATCCTCAACATATATGTACATACAATTCTGTCACTGCGGCTAAACGTACAGCCGTAAGTCCTGACACACACAAAATATTTCCTTATATAATGAAATTCCATAATGAAAATACTACCGTAAACGTTATTTATTACAATTGTCAATCTTTCAGAACCAACAAGCATTGTTTTATCAAGCAGTAGAATGTCCATCACTACCAGATAGTCGGATCAGTATAAAGATGTCTTCACCTTGTTACACAGCAAAAATTAGGCAAGTCTTGCATCCTAGTCCATATTACTAGTATAGTAGAATATTATTTTTTTTCACTTAATTTCGGGATAATTCCATTCCTGAATAAGTTATACATACTCCTATTATTCTATCATACATATACCAACTAAGAATTACATAATATAGATTTCCTGTACCGGACTTAAGACCCTTGCATGACATGAGTCGAGCACCATGGTGGAAGCGATCGGTTAGACCAGACTACGTGACGCTGAAATTAACGGATGTTAAAATTCATTCGTCTATGGAAAGTCGTTCCCATTTTTTGGCGAAACATGTCGTACAGTGCCGGGGAATACTCTTTACGTACACAGAAGCTGACGTAGATGTTCCGGTAGAAATTGGAAAAACTTCCGTTGATGAAAAGGCTGACGGATCTCTACCTCACGAAACCGAAGGTTTTGGTTGGCCTAGAATGGTGATTACGATCTATCCGAAGGACCTCGGAGGACCTCTCGAAGACAGCTCCGAAGGGGAACCGGAATCAAGTCTCGATGACACTTTAGACCACGCGCCGAGACATCAACCATCACCGTTTAGTTCGAAACGTGTGGTCCACGAATCTGACACGCCTCATTCGAAACCGCAGACAGACAAAGATAATACAGAGCACAGGTGTCATTATCTGTTTATTTAAATGGTATGATTAACAGGTTGACTGCCAAAACAAATGACAGGTGTACAATTGCAAGGCGGTTGCCGGTCACCGGTGACCACCGTGGCAGTCAACGTGTTAAAGAACACAAAGAAACAGTTTTGACGCAAGAGTTGTTTTTCTTTTTTCTTTTTTCTACAGAGAAGGAGAGGAACTAATAATTCCAGGAACAAGGCAAGAGATGCTAGAATTCATAGATGAAAGTACTCGTGGTGCCAGACTTCAAATTGAAATTGGCTTGCCATGCGTTTCGGTCCAAATACCGTCAAAGCATCTGTACGAGTTACTTTCCAATAGATTCAATACCGATCTTTTCTTATGGACACCGTCAGCGCCGAAGCCAAAATATACGACACATATGGAAAATCAAATCGGTTTGGATTTAGCCTCTACCTTGTTACAAGATTCGATATATCCGAGGTATGTCTATGAATAAATGATTGGTGTTATGTTTGCTATAAGATTTTGATATAAGAATAAATAAAGAGAATACAATGGCGCGTCTGTATTCCTTAGATTCAGTATGTGCAAGAGTGGAATTCAGTATGACACGGATTCAGACTCTGACGAGGAAGGAATGGTCCAATCAGTAGATGGCAAGAATTCCAAGCAATATCAGAGCAGGCTCTCCAGGAATGGTCAGAGCAAGGTGGCTCTTACCTTGAACATAGGTCAGGGACTTCTGTGCATGTACACTCCAGTTAGGGATTCTTTGCAAAACGTTATTCCGGGACAACAGGGAGAATTAATATTCAGGGTGGAGGACGCGACAATATTTTCTGTTAATTCCTATAAAGGGGATTCCGACCTCGGCTATGTTTGCTCAATGGTGAGCAGCGTGTCATTGAATCATTGCGGACTAACCAAGACACCCTCCCAGGCTCGGCCGTTAAAATGTATTAACCCTGTTATACCAAAACGTTGTCAAACTGTAATATACCGAAGCGAGGCGGGAACAAACGTTTCTACTTCTTTGGAGAAGGATATGTTAACCATGGCTTTGAGAATACAGTACTCGCATCAAACTCATCGTATAAAGGTACAACTTGCCAACGCCTGTTTGCCGCTCTTGGGAGGTTACTTAATAATTATTTTGCTCATTCTGTGCATTAGATCTTTAGAGTAGCCGTTGGCATAAGGAATGCTACACTAAAACATCGGGTGTGTTCTCCCCAAACCTCGTGGTTCACTCAGTTGTTGGATTGCTTGGATATTTCCGTCCACCCAGTGGCGGGATATTCTCCACCTGGTATCCTAACCGAGTTGCACCTTCATCTTTGGGATTGTGCTGTTGATTACAGGCGAGTTATCATATCGCTACATCTTAAGATCCTAGTAACCGTGAGTCGGCCATTTTGAATTGATGACGTCAGATGCGAGAAAATCTCATGAATTTCCTAGCCGCTATTTTTCGCAACGAATGACATTTTCTAGCAAAGAGTAGAAATTAGATATGACTGCACTGAAAGAAATTAGATATTCACGGAATGTATCGGATGGTCAGTTTTTGACGAATTGTGCATTAGGAAATGAGATATTTTCTGAAAATCAGCCTACTAAGACCAGTGACAGGCTTACGATTCCGACACCATAATTACAAAATAGACACATTATCGTCACAAACATGGCCTGTCCGACACATTTTACAAATCTACTGATTACTTTGACACTAATAACTTGACGAAAAAAAATAAATAACCTGGAAAAATAGTGGAGGGGAATGTTTCAATGCTCTAGCTGTCATTTTTCAAACTTTAAGCTTGGGGAATGTACCTCCGGATAGTAAAGTAGACGTCGCAGGATGACGACCAATCGCTTATTTTAATATTATATAAATGAAAACGGAAAAAGAAATATAAACCCATACTTTAAGGGGCCTTAATAATGACTAGGTCAGTAACACCAATACTTAATCGGTTGACGTAACTTTACCATGTACTTAAAATCCACTAGATAAATAAGTCGAACATATAAATCGAACTGCGAGACCAAAATTGAAACATCTAGAGCGCATCACTTTAATTTTAATCCTTCTAATACATTTTATTTTTAGAGTTCACCCTTACCGATTCAATTAACTCTTGACAGGTCATATTTTACATCTCTTTTGAAGTGATGCGTCCTAGACCTATAAAAAGGAAACCGATCAATGTAAAAATCAAGTATGCATATAGTGTATTCTAAAAATTAAGCTGATATGAAAAACGCCATGATATTAAATCGACGTCGATAAAATAAAATTCATCCATATCCTTTTTGGTGATAACTCCATTTTGGATACTTAAGTGGTAACATAAGCGGACGCGCCACGTTACGCGTAATCCTAAAAATCGATTAAACTTGGGCATATTTTACGCAAGTGGCGCAAAGATCATTCACATCTTTCCGGCTATGGTTACTAGGGTGTCAAGAGTAGTACTATTATGAGCTATAGAACATTAAATCCACGTGTTTGATTCTGCAGGCCTCTACATCTGCCGATGAGATCGATGGTGACCGTTGGAAGCTTCAGCGTGTCTAGCAACATAGCCGCCCAGACCAACATTTCAACATTGCGGTTCATTGCCGAAGACGTAGCTCTCTTTATATCCGAAAAGTTAGGCGCTCACGTTGACCTCAGACAAGACTACGTTTGCGTGATGGATTTGGGTTTGTTCGAGCTATCCTTAAGACTGAATGAAAAAATGTGCGGGGACACGCCCAGAGTAGACCTGAGAGCGAGTAACAATATTCTGCATGTGCGAACGTGTTCCGATTCTGGACGAGCCCTGATGCAGCTGCTTACCTACTTTGCAAGCGATGGAGACCTATCTTCACGAGCGGATAGCACCGAGAGTATTGCGGTTCCTAGCTCCGGAGAAGAGGAAATTCTGCTCGGATCCGAGAGTAACAATACTTTAAGCAAAAGTCAAGTTGAACGAATTAATAGCTTGATGGAAGAAGCTATGGAAGATACCGTAAAAGGTATGTGAGCAACTTGAATATTAAGCTGAGAAATTTTGTGACAAATGCTTATTAAGGTTATTCATGTCTGTAGGAACTACTGTCCCCGCTCATGGGAAGTCTCCGGAAACTGAAAACCAAGTCGAAGTATTCTTTTTCCCGGATGAGTCCCATCCTACGATACAAAGCAGCACTGGATCCACTAAGAATTCCGACGTGTGCATCTCTGCAACATGTACTACAGTATCGGATGATCCTGATGAAGATTTCTGTATATTAGGGGAAGAAGCTGGAGCCGGTATAATGCCTAGGCACGGCGTGCCAGAAGTGCGGTGGCTTTGCCAAGAATCATTGCGAATAGTCGATAATCACTTCTCGGTTCCACTCGGTAAGATTGACCTACTCAAAGCCCCCAAACATTTTCCGCTGCCCGTGTTGAGATATACACTTTGTGAAATGACCTTGGTATGGCATATATACGGAGGAAAAGATTTTGGTAAGCCTCGATCGGCTTTAAAAAAGCACGTAACTATTGACGAAAGTGGGCAACATTGCGACGCACAAATTAAATTAAGGTACCAACTTATGTTCCTTAACGTGGTATAGCTACGTTTAAAGAGCAAGGCTCGCCGGTACTTAACGCGAGATATTTCTTTCAGAAGTCCCACAGCCATCAGCGAAATCAGCTTCAGCAAAAATAGTCCAAATGAGGTGCGTTTCGGTAGCGTGCCAAATTCACCTCGGATCAAGGCCAGAGAGACAACCCCGGAGTGGTACATGATGGGTGGTCCAGGTCGCCAACATGATGTCTTAATGGAGTTTCAGCTAAACAAGGTGCGCTTCCAGCACGAAGTCTACCCGGAAAATACAACGGAGGCTTCTAGACAGATCCTGCTGGTAAACGAATTCGAGATACGGGATCGACTTCAGTCCTCCAATATCAACAAGTTCTTGTACCAATATCGCAGCGAGGCTATGCCACGACAATCGCACGCTAACATGTTCGTGATGAAGGCGCATCATGTAAGACCGGATCCATGCCTCGGAGTCCAGGAATGTTGCTTGAAGCTGAGTTTACTGCCCTTGCGCCTCAATATAGACCAAGATAGCTTGCTCTTTCTGATAGAATTCTTTACCGAGTTGGCCGGAAACCCGAAGCAGAATCAGGACAAAACAAACGTCACCAACAATGTCCAATCTTCCCCTAGCTCCAAACAAGGCACGCCTACTCATCATCCTCCAGTGATGAGTGTGAAGGACACTGCCCCTGTCCACAATTCTCAAGATTCGATCAACGCTTCAGAAAATACCGTAGATCAAAATTTGCTAATACTATTGGAGGATGAACTCACGATTAAGGAAAACAAGATGAAAGCAAAGGCAACCAATGAGGTACAGGAAGACAGTCAACCGATATATTTCAGGCAAGCGAAACACTTCCCTTCTAATCATTAGTTCATTTTTATGATACTGCGAATGATTTTACTTGGAATCGATGATATACGTTGCGACGTTACGTCAATGAACCTCTTGGGAGTTATGTGGACGGGAGATGCACGGAGGGCCTTTCAAAATAACTTACTTGAATAACCGTACTTGAGTCCTAGCGGGCATTCCTTCTTGGTCCGCTTTCACTGCGTGGCAAACTGTTCTTTCCGCTAGCAAGGCTTTCCGTGAACTGCTGGCAGGCCGGGCACGCAGGTGGTGCCGGGTCCGTTTCGGCAGGACCCGAAGCGCGGATTGGCCGAGCGGCATCGCTGGCAGCACTCGGATTGGCTCCGGCTCGGCGGCCTCTGCTTTGCCGCGCAGTACAGGGCCGCATGGTCGGCTCGAAATCTTTGCGCCCTGTCAGGACCTTAAACCATAAATATCTAGACCTCGCATAACAGTGGAAGGGGTAAACTCGAGTACCACATGGACCACGTGTGCCGACGGTACTCGGATCCAATCAGATTTTAGACCATATATTTATGTAGACCGCCTTACAGTAAAGGGGGTAAACGAGTGTACCACGTGTCCCGACGACTCACCCACACGGTTAAAGCCATTCTGCTTATTGAAAATCTGCGAGTGGGAGGTCCAATGCGAGGTCTAGATATATATGGTCTAAGGTCAGGACCGCATTGGCGAACCTTAAGGTGAAGTGAAACCCCCTTCAAATCTGTCGATTCGAATACAACACTTTGTTTTAAGGGTATTAGACCAAACTGTCCGAAACTTTGACACATCACTCCTGATCATCTAAGAATTGTCCTGACACATTCAACATTTAGATTTTTCAAAAAAATTTTTTAACTCAGTCCAGACCAGAACCAAAATGGCGTCAAGCTCTCAAATTTCGATCAATATACAATTATCGAAGGCTCTGATATGAGAATCGAAAGGGTCAGGACAATTTGACGACAATTTAGAACACTCTGGTAATCGATAAACTCGCATTTGAACGGGATAAAGGCAAAAAAAGTCTTGTATGCGCTTCTATGCCAAAACGATGATAATACGAGGTCTCGGAGTGAAAATTTAATTGACCTGAAAATCACAGATGGCGCAGGGGGTCCCTCTGCAGTCAATTAGGCCCCCAGAATGCATGAATTCGGGGGATTTCTGGAGTTTTACTTCGATTTCTTTATAATTATTGTACGAAAACGACAGGTGGAATATGCCATTTGATACAATACACAATATAATTCGACACAGCTGTCAATATAAAAACGAACGTCGGCAACGTAGGCATTTAGAAAAATCTTCTTTATCGACGTCGAACAAGTTCCTCGACGTGTTTCACTTCACCTTAAAGCGTTCGTCCATCGAGCATCCACTTAATGATCCACCGCGCATCCCTTCGGCCCCACTGCCCTATCCTGCCCTAATTCGGCGTACCAATTCCCATATGGATTTACCTATTATCCCATAGGATTTTCCATAACTATTCCCCCTAATAACGTTCGGGCGTTCGCTAGCGTCGCTCGCAGGCAGTTTGTTACGCTAACAATAGATATGGCAGCCACCCCACCCTCCACGAGACCGCGATTTACCTATACTGTGGGGGGGGGGGGGGCTACCAACTCACCACATTACAACATTTGTATGTAACGTTCTTTTATTCATCTAATAATATATCTATATTGCAGAAGCGTGATATTCGCTCCCGAAGTATTAGTCAGGTTGGATTATCATGGTAAGAGAGTGGACCTCACTCATGGTCCATTGGCAGGCCTCTTAATGGGCCTAGCGCAATTAAATTGCTCCGAACTGAGGCTTAAAAGACTGACCCACCGTCATGGATTATTAGGTTTCGATAAGTTGATCGCATTCTTTTTGTCAGAATGGGTGCAAGATATCAAGAAGAACCAGTTGCCCAGTCTGTTGGGCGGAGTAGGACCCATGCATTCACTGGTGCAATTGTGTAAGAACACGGAAAGAATTCCGTATCACCAGGAGGAACAAATGTTTACAAATGCAAAAAAAATATCAGCTCGTTATCATATATAGTGTTTGTTTAAATGAGTGAAATAGAGAAATGAAGATACCAATTACAGGTAGCTCTCCTACACACCGGCATACTATAACACGGTTGCGCTCTAACACGATAAGAAAGTTGCGAATACCTTTGTACAACACTGTACTCCTACAGCACTGGATAACATGATTTTTGTTTAACATATTGAAAAACTAAATTACCTTAAAATAATGGCGGGAAGGAATAATAAACTATAGTGCCTTTACATGAAAATAATAATTCTTGTTTTTTCTTTTTTTCGTTTTGTGTTATACATACATTTATATTCTTAATAAAAATTAAGTTGCTTATATGGAATTAAAAAATAAGTTTGTTTTTAATAGGTCTTCGCATTCGGTAATCCTTCCTTTTTGTACTGGCTCTGAGTCTCATATAACACGGTTTCACCCAACACGGCATTTTCTAGGAACCTATCTACCGTGTTATAGGAGGGTTACCTGTATTCTTAATCGTACGGTATTAATACGTACATCCGTTAAGCAGATATTTCCTCAATTGTTTATATTTGTTCCTTGTTAACCAAAAACGTTCTTATGTTCAAATTTTATAACCATACGGTTTTATGCTCACAGTCCAAGGAATTCGAGATCTATTTTGGCTGCCGATCGAACAGTACCAGAAGGATGGTAGAATCGTGCGAGGTCTTCAACGAGGGGCAAACAGTTTCACGACGTCAACGATGATGGCCACATTGGAATTAACGTCCAGACTAGTACATGCCATTCAAAGTACGGCGGAGACGGCCTACGACATGGTCAGTCCCGGGCCAAGCGTTAGACGTAAGAGCAAAGGGCAAAAGGGACGAAGGAAACAATACAACCAGCCATTGGATATCCGAGAGGGAATGGCTAATGCATATACACTAGTCAAAGAGGTTGGTCATAGTCCCTCCTTCATTGAAGAATAATATCAATTATTTCCTTGCATCAATTTCAAAAATAACTCAGAAATTAACCCCTTGCTCTTCGATTTAATTATGACAAATTTTGCAATAAAGCACCATTTAATTTGAGGTGGCCTCTGTGTGATATAATGAGGCAGTTGGCCATTAAAACCTCATAACGAGTTTAGCTCGTCATTGTAGCGCAAGTAGTTAAGGGGGAATGGTACATCATCTTATTCCGAATTATAATAATCGATTAATAAGATGTGGGGTTTTTCAGGGATTAGGCGAAACAGCGAATCAATTGGTGCGAGTCGCCAGTGAGGAGCACGAACAAAAAGGCGTATCCGGCGCCGTAGGAGGTGTACTCAGGCAAATTCCGCCCACAGTGGTGAAACCGATCATACTGGCTTCAGAGGCGACCAGCAATGTTCTAGGCGGAATGCGATCTCAGTTGGTGCCCGATGCAAGATGGGAGGCTGCCCAGAAGTGGCGACAAGAACCTCACGATGTGGTGTGAAAAGTTGCGTGAGAGCAGTTCTGGGTCACTCATGGCCACTTCCGTTACAAAGGATCAATGGGAATTAAGCAGTGTCACACAATGAGTTTCGCGCAAATCCACGAATCACGTCAATTTTATCGAAAACTATAACGGGACTTCTCTTTTTGTTAAGTCTCGATAAAGGATACGCATGGTGTAGCGCCATCCGATATAGCGAGAGAGATGGCAACTCTTGCGCGCAAATGAGATACATTCAGGTCGTTTATTTTCGAGCTCGCGAATGAGCGAGGTTCAAAATTTCCGTAGTTACCGCTGTTGAGTTCCATTCGCGTACTCTTTTCGTTCAAAGAGTCGAGACTCGTTTATCGTATTTATAAATTACAGACGAGAAATATATTAATGCAAGGTAACAGTCGCTGCTATTACGTATTTTTGTTCTAACGATGTGTACGTTTTATACCAATGATATGTGTATCGAAAGATTTTTTATTAATAAAATCTTATAACGTTTACTTGTGCATGCACGTACACTGTTCGACGTATCTAGACGATTTAGAAGTTTGCCTTTCCCTTTGCTTGTCAATGGTTATAACATTTAATTTTAACCAGTATAACTTTCCTTTCGTCTTGAGAATGTCGTTCTTTTCGTGTATATATGTTTAATAATATTGAGCCGGAACGAAAGAGGTTATTTTATTCAACGCTACACAAAAATGAGATTCAATGGGCCGTATCATTCGTTTCGTGGGCGCATGCGCAGATTTGTTACCCTCAGAGTTACAGATACTCTCTTTATCGGTCCGGCCAAATGCATAGTAACTTACCGACAACCAGTAGATCCGCTAGTGATAGTTCACGGACTTCAAATTCTCCGTTTTCAATTACATTTCATTCAATCCACTTTATTTACGAAAAAGATGTTTTCTTTATTGCCGTTACCATGGATTTATATATATTTTTATAATACATATAAAATAAAACACTTTTAATCAGCGACCTAGAAATGCGTGTTATAACACTAACCTGGTTAACGTAATGATTAATATCTAGCATGCATCCGTAATGTGCTTCCATCTGGTAAACATGCTTAGCAGCGAGTGCATAACCTACCCATTTAGCATACCACGATAAATACAATTTTCCGAGCAATTACTTGAGTCCTGCTTATCATTGGTAGAAAATCACCGCTAAACGAGACTCCCGCCTAATGGAAACCCCTCGTTTCTCCAAGCAGGTGAGCACCACTGGATATGCTGCTATGACGATGAGATTTGTTTACGTACCTGTCATTCGCAAAGTAAGGTTATCGCCACATGTCAGGCAAATGTATCAGAAAACGTAACAACATAATCTCCTAGTATAGGACTTTGAAAAATGGCAAATCTATCTAGCCCCATGGTTATGGAAAGCGAAATTGAAATTCCGTATTTACATAAATATAAGGACGATGCACTTTTCGAGAAATGGAGAGGTTATCCGGCTTATTACGAGGACGAGGGCGAAGACGATGAAGAAACCGAATCCAAAGTGGAATACGCAGAGATCACGGACGAAACGTTGGGACAAATTCAGCGAGAGTTATGCCTAATAAGATTATGTTGGCCAAATATGATGGATCACTCAGAAAATTCTTACTTAGCGACGTTGTCTAGTAGCTACAGAGAAACTAGTGAAAAAGAAAGGGTTTTGCTGTGGTATGCTGAAAATTTCCGGAAACAGTATCATACAATTTACACGGATCGAAAGCCCCTGTTCCTCGCATGCAACAATGAATGCGGAGTTCAGGTATGTTTCGTGTCAAAATTTGAACTAGAAACCATTATTCAGTTTTTATCGAAGACGTCAATCGTGTAATGTAATAGAAATTATTGGTCACCGATATCGAAGCACGAGCTCAGGTGGTTCTTGGTTCGGTCTTCATTACCATGATTCGATGGTCAATTTCTTTTAAAGTAAAGTACACTATTTAATTTTTATTCTTACATGTATTCTTTGATAAATACTTTCGACTTTCACATCGTACAAAGGCAATGTTCATATAAAAATCAGAAAGAACCATAAATAAAGTTCAATCAAGACGATCGAGGTGAAATTTGTAGTATTGGATATCGAAAGGTAAAAGGAATGTCATCTGGAATAGGTCTAACGCAATCTCTAACTCGAACGAGGGAAGCAGCGATAGCAAAGGGATTCCTTTCTAATGCACACGGTTTATCTTCTCTAAGATCTAAATAATAAAAATAAACTTTACTATACATTTATTCGTACATACTTCAAACATACTACAATACACGTTACGCGCTTTAGAACTTAAAGCGCACCGTCACAGTCTTATTTACAGGTGCTGTCGATCGACGGCACGTTTTTCACTTTGGTTTTTCTTTTCATAAATATACTTTGCTGCCTGTAAAAGTATGTTTGACTTCAGTGACACACGGAGGCACCTTGTCTTTAAGCGAACGATCCTTGACTTACAGTCGACTTTGTCTTTTGAACGAGGAAATATATTTTAGCATCGTACGGTCGAAAGCAAGGAGGAGGTCAAAAAGAAGGTGCCTCGCCACGAAGTCGACACGAGCAAAGGACAATTCATCGAGACGGTAGCATCTTAATTTTCCCTTTTTGCATAGAAGTTCGTCTCTACTTCCATTCGGCGAAGCACATTACCTTACCCAGAACTGTACACGTGGCAAGGATGCGCAAAATTCGTTAGCGACTACGTGATATACGTCCCGCCCAAGAGAGCACTCATTACGGTAAGTAGCCAACCTGTCTTTACTGCTTCAAACGAATCGCAAGTTTCGTTACAAGATTTTTTTAGCATTGCCGGTTAGACGTTGCTCGGCTCGAATCTCTACTTGCCCTCGCACCTCCCCTGAGTAAACGATACAAAATGACAAAAACCGAGAAACGAAACGTACATTGGTAAGACGCGATAACCGATACAACTTTTGTCCGCGATACAACGTAACCGGGATATGCGTGGCACGTAGACGTCATCGTAACATCGTCGAGTCCCTGGTCGACGTAAACATCCAGAAGTGCTCGATGTTTCCGATCTCGGTTATCGACCGCAAAGGACAACGGGCACTCGGGCGCGACCAACGTCCATCGCGCGGGATCTCGAAACGTTAACCCGAAAGAATCCCATCGAAAGAGTCCGTCCCGAAAGCAATCCCACCCGCTTCTCTACGCTACGAGTAGTGGAATAACGATAAACTTCTACCGTCCTCTTAACCTTACAACAGTTTCGAGAGAAATTTGGTATAATCTCTTATATACAATATTTAAAAAAAAGAACCGTACGATCTATTTTGATTCGGCCCAATCTTCGAGGTAACTAAAACTCTATCCAATCTCCACCGGAGCGCGGGAAGCGGGACTCCGCCCGCCCTCGTCTCCGAGCCCTCTCTCCGGGTGGATCTCGCGCGCGCTTGGTCTCCGTTTCCCCCGACGTACGTCATCACAGCACCGGTAAATCTACTTTCTGCTCTGCTTTAAATTAGATGACTTCTTCCTACACGTCTTGAGGTTGTCCAAAAGGTACTTGAACTGCATGATCTGCAGCCTGGTCACCGCGGGCTCGGAGCACTTGTCCAACCACTTGAAGAACTTTTCCCCGTGCTCGATGGCCTCCTCGGTGGTGCAGGCCGGGTCCCCGGAGTCGGCGGCCTCGTCCTCTTCCTCGGCGTGCAGGCTGCGCTTGGCGTTCTCGTTGTTGTTGTTGTTGTTATTGCACAGCACGTTGTCGAGCAGGGCCCGGGCCTTGGTGGGCGACTTCCTCGCGACGGGGGTGGAGGGCGACTGGGCGAGGGGCGTGGGGCTGACCATGGGGAAGCTGCACTGCTTGTACCACTGCCAGAACCAGGAGCCGTCCTGCTGGTTGGCCCCGGGGCTGAAGGCGGCCGACTGCTGCCCGATGAGCTGCTGCTGCTGCGTCAGCCAGAGCCACAGCGCCTCGTCGACCTTCCGGTTGCCCCCGCCGTCGCGGCGCGCGGCCGCCCTCGCCGGCTCGGCGCCCGTCTTCCGCGGCGAGGCCGGCACGGGCGTGGAGGGCGCCTCGGCCGCGGGCGGCAGGCTCTTCCGCGAGCCCGACTTGGCGACGGCGTCCATCTGCGTCGGGGCGACCGCCGACAGGCTGTGCCGCTTGCTGGCCTTGGTGTAGCGCAGCCCGTTCTCCACGAGGCCGACCGCCGCGCTGCCGGTCGCGGCCCCGGCTGCGCCGCCGACCGCGGCGCCGTGCGCCAGGCCGCCACCCCCGCCGGCGCCGCCGCCGCCGCCGGCCGGCATGCTCAGGAGGCTCTTGGCGCTCGACAGCAGGCCCAGCTGCTGCAGGAGCAGCGAACTGTTCTCGGGCCGCATGCCCGCCATACTGGTCATCAGTCCCACGTAGTCGATCTTCGGCTTGCCGTCCAGCTTGGCGCCCGGGTCGCCGAGCTCGCCGTTCTCGACGGCGCCGTAGGGTCCGACCGCCGTCCGGTCGAGCTTCTGCCGCTTCGCCGAGGAGGGGCCCTCGTCCTCGCTGGAAAGGTTGGCGGCGCCGGCCACCAGGCCGCCGCCGCCCCCGCCGGCGCCCGCGTTGGTGCCCGACGAGGACGCCGGGGAGTGGGCCTCGCTGTCGGGGGTGGACGAGTTCCTGGCCATGCCGCGGATCTTGTGCTCGGACTTGCACCAGCCGCGCAGCGTCGACTCGGGCACGCCGATGTCCCGGGCGACCGAGGCCTTGCTCTCGCCCTCGTGCACCCTCTGGATGGCGTCCATCTTCTCGGAGGCCGAGAGGGCCCGCAGGGGCCGCTTCCCGGGCCGCGCCGACTCGCCCCGCATCCCGAGTCGGCCCTCCTTCCCGTAGACGCGCTCCTCGAGGGAGAGGTCCTCCGCGGCCGCGTCGTCGGCTGTCCCGAAGTCCCGGTAGGCGGGGATGACGCCGGCGATCCCGGAGACGCCGGAGATCGCGGCGATCTCCGCGCGCGCCGACAGGTCCAGGTTACCGACGCTGGGTCTCCGCTGGGTGGTGGTGGTGACGGCGGCGCCGGCTAGGTCGTCGACGACCGGTCGACCGACCTCGAGGGCGCTGCGTCGGTGGGGGTCTGCGAGGTCCCGGGGAGAGCGCGCGGGGCCCCTAGCATGGGCCCGGCGGCGCCGCGACGCCGGCCCGCGGGAGACTAGCGAGCTCGGGGGAGGTTCGTCGCCGAGTAGCGGCACATGCGCTCGCAGCAATAAAGAACTTTTTTATGAATGAAACAACTCCCGCCCCCTCCTCCCTCTCGCCCCCCACACTCGCTCGCCCGTAAAACAGTCCGTACTCGTACTCGCGGAGCGCCGCAGCCAATCCGCAGTGCGCGCGGGAAACAATATTATTGCTGCACCACGAGGCGGCGAGGGAACCCTCCTCGGCCGGTTTCCCCTCGCGGCTCCTCCGCCCCGGGCGAGACTCCGACGTCGCTCGGTGCCGTGCTTCGGGCCCTGGGTCCGCCCCGGACCCGCTGCTGTCCTCCTCGGCGATGACCCTCGATTCTCATCCGGCACGGGCGAGCCGCGGAATTCGGGAGCGAGCCCGAGTCCTCCTATAAGTAGCACCGTCGACCGCGCGACCGCCGGTCGGACGCTCGCTCTCGGCCCCCGGCTCGAATACCTCCGCGGGAGACGCGCGAGTCGCGCGAGTCGCGCGTGTCGCGCGCGCGCGCGGACGCGAGTGCTCTCGATCCTCTCTCGGTCTCCTCTCGCGACCGGTGCGCGCCCGACTGGGCCGCGATGCGTCTCTGCTCTGGGGCGCGACGTGCACGATGCTCTCGCGAAGAGTCGCGACGCTCAACTGTGGCGGTGGACGCCGGCTTTCCGCGGACTCGCGACGCCGTCTTCTCCTCCCTCCGGCCCGCGGCGCCCCGCGCTCCCCGCGCGCCCCACCCCTCGTCCCGGCGGCCCACTGCCGAACTGGTCCCCTCCCCCCGCCCGAGTCTTGGCGCACCTAACCTCGCTCTTCCCCGACCCGCCCTCCCGCCCCGCCGCCTCGCCGCCGCCGCCGGGTGGACCCCCTCCCCGCGCGCCGTCCCTTCGTCCGACCGCTCGGCCCGTCCTCTGGCCGACGAGCCGAGCCGAACCGAGCCGATCGGCCGTCGGTAATATTTCCCGGAAAGTCATTTATCCGAAATTTCTTCCTAGCGGCTCTCTCCCTCTCTCTCTCTTCGTCGCCTCTTCCCCCGCGACCTCCGTCTTCGCCCTCCTCCCTCGCTCTCGTCTCTTTCCTCTTTCTTTCTCTCTCGGGCCTTCGCCACTTGGCGGCGCCGAGAGCCGAACCGCGCCAAAGACGTCGCCGGAAGGAGCGAGAGAGAGAGAGAGAGGGAGAGAGGAACGTCGCGCCGAAATTACCGCGCGCCGCCTCGAGCGCCCGGCCGGTTCCCTGTAATAACGGTCCGGCCGCGGATCTCGCGAAATCACCGAGGCCGGAAACTCGTCGGAGAGAGCAGGGATCGAGGAAAACCGCCGACGTTGAATTCGAGCCGTCGCGAGAGGCGGGAAAACGCGGAAGGGCGCCGAGATCGCAATTCCCTCGTGCTTTTTGGACGGGCCTCGGACCCTCTCGTCGTCGGGACGAAAAGATTCCCGTGGATATTTTCGACGATGGGCGGCGCTATCTTTGCCGCGGAATTCCGAGCTTGGGATTTTCCGGGCGCGGCCGCTCGAGCGTGGCCCTTTTCGAGGACGCGCGGCTCTACCCTCGGCGATCGATCGATTCGTCGATCGATCGGCGAGAGCCCTCGACGATCACGCTCGCTGGCTCTCGACGGCCGAGCGGACCAACGGGAAGTCCCGGTTCCCGCGGACTACGACCTTACCGGAGGAGAGCTGCTCGCTCGCGCGCTCGCGCATCGGGGCACGTAGGGCGCGCACGTGTGCGCGCGTACTCGGGTACGTGCGTGGGGGGCCGGCGGGGTGGCCGCCGGCGGAAAGAGAGAAAGGAGGGGGAAGGACGTTTATATCTCGATATGTGGGTTATGTTCGGACTCTCTTCTTTCTCTTCCTCTTCTTCCTCTTCAAGATCAAGGTCTTACGTATACGCGCCGCGTCCGCTGCGCGCGGCGGCGCATGCGCGCCGCGGCGGACCCGCGTGCCGCCGAGCGGTGCGTAACTGTCGCTTTCGCGCACGCTCTTTGCGCGCTACCGCGCGCGCGGCTCTCCGTCTCTCTTTCTCTCTCTCTCTCTCTCTCTCTCGCTCTCCCTCGCCGCGCCCGTCGCCGGGCGCGCATCTGCGCGCCTCCGCGCGCCTTCGTGTGCGTCCGTGTGCGTCCGTGTGCGTCCGTGAACGGTCGTGCGCGCCGCACGGTGAATTATGGAGGAAGGAAGCGCGCACCGAAAGTGGCCGCGCCGCGGCGCCGTTCGGTTCGACTCGGCGCATCGTCCCTTCGGCCCCAAAGGAAGGAAGCACGGGACGGCGGGGCGTCGGGGGGAGGGAGCAGGGGGAGGGGGGAGGGGGCGACGGAACCCCGCGCGACGATTAACGAATCGCATCGCCGGCCAAGAAGGTGAGCGCACCAAGGAGCGAGAGAGAGAGAGGGCGAGAGAGAAGGAGATGAGGCGAGGGCCGGAGGGAGGGACGCTGAAATCGATCGACGCGTCCCGTGTAAGGCGAGTCGCGGTAAGCGCGCCGAGGCACCGCCAACCTGGCCATCCTAGGTATACGTGCGATTAATTTTCACCTCTTCCCTGAACTCGAGAACCGAGCGTACCGCGCTCCGGGCGGAAGGATAAACTCCCCGAGCCGTGCCCTATATATAGATGCGCGGACATATAGACGTATTTATAGTGTACCGAAATTACGAATTCCTTAACCCCAAACTCGCGTTTGGGCATTCGTCGCGCTTCTTTCCGATGACTTCTGCAGCCGCTGGCTTCGAGGAAATTTCGGATGACCTCGCGGGAAGGTTTTGTCGTTCCATCGTGGTGGGATTCGAGACCGAGTTTTTACAGGGTTAGGTTACCGACGTCGCGGTTTCTCTATATTTCTCTCGACGTTGCTGCGAAAAATGTTCGGAAACGGTGAACCTCCGGATCTACGTGGTTCTTGATAACAATGTAAATCTTCCGGCGATTGAATACGTATGCCGCTAGATGATTATTGATATTCTTCTTTGAAACGCTTTACGAAAGTAAAACAGTTTTTTTCTTTAGTAAATTTCGCTCGATTCAATGCACCTGCTCTATCCAGAAAAGACGTCCCTTTGCTTCGAATGTCCGCGCGGGAGAATTTCGGACTGTTTCTTGGTATTAATCCAGATAAAGGAGACTAAAGTACGGTGTCGAAAAATTCATAGACTAAGATGCCATTCGGTAGATTTGGAAGACAAAAAACCTGGTCCGAACCACTCTAAATCTACGTTTAAGCGTGTTAAATTTCTCTGACATATTTATTATACCCAGAATTAAATATTTAATTTTCAAAGATACACGTCGTAACACTTTTAAGTTCAATATGCGATAGATCTTGGTGGCCTCGCAGTTGTAATCCTGGGAACGATTTGACATCATCGGGGAAAACGATGTGACGTCCGCGATATTGCAAATAAGAATGAACAAAAGAGAATACCTCTTTCGTTTCATGACCAGACGATGAACGTTCTGAAATCACGACCTGGTTTATGCCGGTAGGGTAAGTTTGTGTAACTACACGGAGCAGAGTACGCGGTGTAAAATATGACCGACCAATGCCACGTAAATGGCGGCCCTGGAGGGAGTTTATTAATGAATACAGACGTATCAGTCACGCCATTCCGTGTATTCATTTACGCGACGAATACTTCGTCGCGTGCTAACGGTATGTTTGAGTCTCACCGTTTACTCCATTTAGTGTAAAACACTTGTACCGAGCGGAGTGCATTAATGAATCTGAATCTATCAATTACGCCGCTCGGCGTAATCGTTCGCCTCTTCGTGTAATTTGTGGAAATCAAACTCCGCGGCACGAGTTTGGATAGCTCAAATTTCTCGGTAATGGTATTAATTTCGAACAATCTGTCCGCGGGATTCGCTAAAACTATGTCAGGTAGGACTCGGCAAGAAGAGTGTAAGACACGTTTACCTGGGGATTTTCAAATTGCGAAGCTATTCACTGCGTGAACAATTATTCACCTCGAAGGACTATTAAAATTAATCCGTCCGCGGTTATACTTTTCTAGTTCGATTAAATAATTAAAATACAGGAGTGACCTACTTACATGATAAGTGTACTTGACATACATGTCGGGACTACATGTACAAGAAAAGAGCACTTGTGGAGTAATCTACTAGAAGAGATAAGTTAAAAAAAAATAGATATATATTTATATATTAAAGCTACAGGACATTTAACCTAATTTCGGCGTACAGAGAATGCATCGGAATAAGGGAACGATTCTCTTGGATCGAATGACTGCTATGTCGGCTTCAAGTGTAACGATGATAAAGTACAAGGCATGCTTCACCCGAGTATATATACGTGAATTAAGGATAAACACCGGCTTAATTAAAAGGTTAGATACTTTAAAACCCCCCTAGCGCTCTTCGGACGGGTTTAGCGGAGTTCAAAGAAAACTATTGAAAACGAAGGCGAAATTAATTACGATCCCTCGGGGAAAAGCAAAATCAATAACTATTGATGCCTTTATGCGTGGACTCGTATAAGGCGATTCCTTTAACCTCGACCCTTGGGTTCCTTCGCGTTCGTGGTATTACACCTCGGGTGCCGGGTTTGGGAAACAACGCGTTCCGTCTTGTTCTTTCATTTCTTATACCTAATAAAGCGATGGTCAGTAGTCTCAGGTAGAGCTGCCATTGTCTAGGGGAAGGCTGAACGCTTAAGGGTGGTCCGTGGGACCGATAGCGAGAATTAGAACGCGCGGTAAGCGGCGGCTACGGAACGGAAAAACGACATTATCCTATTCGGGGGAGAAGGCACCCTTCTCCAAGAACTTTAAGAGCCACTTTTACAGGGGATTTATAGACACCGGCCATAAATTACACCAGAAGGTCCTCTAACTCTGACCACCTTCGAATATCTTCGCAATTTCGGGAGGTACTGAAAAATACGTTGGACAAAAGGTTTATGGTTTCACGGGGGCTGTATGACACGTTGAAAGGACATTTTGTTTCCGCGTTCCTTAACGGCATATTCAGTTCATGGAAATTTTTCCAATCAGAAATCGGCTATTTCATCTGTAGACAGTTTTGATACGAATTCGGTAACCTAGATTAGACGATTTTCCGAGAAACGGTTTGCAAGTTATCGCGACTCAAATTGCAGGAGTAACGCACAATGTATACACGATTTACCCGCTTGTGCCTAGAAGTACTTGCACTTGCACCTAGAGTCGAAACATGTCTAAGGAGCGGCTTATCGGAAAGTCACTCTCGGTAGATTTTTGTAAAAGGTAAAAGTCGATAGTCCTTTATAAAACGACGGTTTCCTTGTAATCTCAATAAAAGGTAAAAAAAATCAATACGTGTTAATCGGATTCCACGACTTCGTTGGAACCGTGTGCTACGGTTTATATAATTAATGTAAACTCGTTCAATGGGGCATAATGACGACAACGTTTCAATTATTCCCTTTTATGCCACACTTTCGGCGGAGGAATATTGACTTTTTGAAAACGAGACTTTCATCGGAGTAACGTCCATTCGCGAACGCTTCTTAAAACACATTCTCTTGTACTTTAAATCTTCGTAACGCAAAAGTTCACTACGAGTTAATCTACCGCTAAGTATCCGGGATGCTTAGGAAACTCGTTTAAACGAAGTCGCAGCTCGCTTTGATCCGGAGAAATGC